AAATATTTATTTATCAATTGATCAATTATTCATCTAAAAATATAGATTTTAACTTCTGCTTTTACTTTTACATTTCTTCTTGCATTTATACTGACTTATTTCTAACCCACTTATTTTCCATTATACATTTCTAGAAGTCTTTATTTTGTGTTTTTGTATTTATTGCAAGTGGGATTTCTTTTTGTTCTGTATTTCCATTTTTTTATTGTTTTATATTTATTCACACCAACATTTTTAAGACATGTTTTTATTTTTGTCTCATACTGATTTACACCACAACATTTTTAAAGCATGTTTTCAATCCCCCATAAATTTTAACAACCTTCTATTTCTGAAACAATGATTAATTTCAGTCTAACTTTTTTGTTTTTTTACTCAAAGGCTTTTCGCTTGCCCTTTTTTTCTTCCCCCCTTTATCCACTTAGTCTATTTCCACTTTGTCATCTGACTGCTGCTGGTAATGTTACAATGATGCTGGGGAGGTGGGGTGGTGGCGTCACCGGCTTCACAACTATTGGCCAAGGCTAGCCCTCCAAAAATAGTTACTGAGCATGAGTGCACCTGCTTTGATTTTGCCTTCAAGCAAAGGTGTAGCGATGGCTAACTCGTGGAATGCCATAGCAAATGAACTCGAACAAGTTGCCGATTTGTAGAAGACAACACAGTTTCTAAAGATCATGTCCTATATCGTTTCAAGAGCTTAACAGAGAGAATAATACTGTTAGAAACAACCACCAAAGCAGATCTTGACCCAGCCCTGTTACAAAGTTTGGACCAGGTAGCTCGCTGCTTGTACTCCAGCGACAGACATTTGGTTCTTCCTGTGGTTAGTCCTCTTCTTTGCTCCGGGAAAACTTCTTCTTTGCTTTGCGTACACTGAGAAAGCCGCTCCAACACTTGAAGTGCCCCCATATTATAGACTTGCCAGAGCAAAGAACAGGATTAACTATAATTCTGTTAAATATTCAACGTAAAACTAACTTCACCGCAGTATGTAATGTGCGTTGGGTGGAGCTACCCTATCCTTTCTTTTCCTGTAACAATGGCGGATTAAATCGAGAGAGTCGCTTGGCTTATTCTAATGAATAATGCTACTGTCAGACTGCAAGGGCTAGAAGCAGAAGATCCC